GATAAAACTGATGTAAGTAACTATGATAATGGTGTTCTTTTGTTTCGATTATTATTTAATAGTAACGATGTACAATAAAATTAACCCTTGTACCGTCAACCAAAAACTGGCCAATCTGGGTCACTTTTGACTCATATTGAAGTTTTTAATACTAAATATCTTTAATACTAATTTAGTAATGGTTATATATGTATACGTTATACAATACGTCTGTTTGCTTTAATTCTGTATTTATTTTGAGATTGTTCAAGAAAGTTAGAAGATCTGTATGAATCTTATGAGAATTGAAACATAATTAACAACAATTATATCATGTTATATTTTTACTATGCATTCAATCATATTCATGTAATTAGATTTGATATCATGAGACCACAAATGCAGGATTGATATAAATCAAAACTCAAAACAGATCAATCGAAATCATTTTAAGAATGATTTCATTATCAGAAAAATGAACAAAACAAACAAAACTTTAAGCAAAATTAATTCATAAATATTGATCCCATCACGTCCTCATTCAACTTTCCTGTCGATCCCAATTTACGAAATCTACATCTCGAACTCGTTTTCGACAAAAGCAACAAAAACAAAACTCCAAAATTGAATCGTCCCATGTAATCTGCAATTATAATTAGTACCACTTCTTTTTTCCTTATCCAGCTTCGTCCCGTCCAAAAATAAAATCCCGCCGGGCACGGTTCGTAAATTAGAAAAAAACTAGTTTGTTACATCAAGCAATTTGCATTCCACTCGTATAGTACTACGTCCCCGTCACATTTGAATCAACGACGTAGTCGATCAATCGACAGGAACCAAGCGTCCCCGTGCAATCTCGGGCCCTCGCGACAGATTCATTTTCACGACGAAGAGCCGCGGGCAAATACGAATACGTTACGTAGAAAGAAGGGACTTTTTTTCTTCCTTCTAATCTATCAAACCGATCGTACGCCATTGTGTATCGACCGCGGTTCGATCAGGACGAACCTTGCGCATACCCAATACACCTCGACTTACGTGACACGGGATACAAGTGTTTTTAAGCGTAAACCGCGCACGCAGCCAGGGTGTGGTAACTGCTTTGTCCCGTGTCACGAATAAAAACTGAATGCCAGGAAAAACAGGAACGAAGTAGTTGTACGACCGATTCGAAGCCAACATTGCTGGTTCTTTACATGCTAATTAAAGAGACTAGTTGACGATGATTTGAGAATCAAGAATGAAAGTTAAAGCCAAATAGATAGAAATGCTGGCTTTGAATATTTAAGGTAAATAATGTATTATATTAATTAGAATAGTCAATAACTCCTTAGAATCGCTAAATCAAAGTGGACTACGTCTCTGTATTGGCACCTATTATGCTAGCTACCAGAGAGCTCTTAAGACGGTAAGTTTCCTCCAGGTATCTGATAAATGATATACGGACAAACTTTCCAAGAGATGGTACTTAGAAGATAAGTCAGGGAAATTATTAACACTTTGACAAACAAAGTGCTACACCTGCTCTTTGCACAGCTTATCACTGAATGACAAAATAGATAGGTCTATTGTCTATACTAATTACTTCTTAAATTTACTTTCATAAAAATTGCAAAATTTACACAAAGTGAGGTTGAAGACCCATTACTAGGTTGGTATTAATAGTTTTATAGAATGATGGAATAGGTAGTCTGTTATTCAGGTATACTAATTTCCTTTTTAAAATGACTTGTATCAAAATTGCAGCATTTACAAAAGTTGAAACACGCATGTAACATTGGTTAAGTGTTTCACACTCTCAGTAGAATTCAATCGAGCATAACTCTTCGAAAAAGAACAAAGTTAAACATCCTAATGTCTGAAGTAGGGTCTACTAGCTGGTCCTATTGATGAGTCCTCACTGTTTCCCTTCAGTACCTTCAGCCATTTTACCTGTCAAACCCCTTCTAATCCCGAAATTCATTTCCATACTGAAAAAATACAACCAATTATTCTCAAGTGTCGTATAATTTCCTATACGGTTGTTTTTTAGACGAGACAAGAGTCGATCCCCGAATCTTCAATGGCGCCACGTGAACAAGGACCAAACCAATCTGACCTTTCGTCCAGCGTTACAGACCTGAAATCATCATAAGCAAGGAAACTGCGTGACTACCGGTACATTTTAAAACTGGCTATTACAGTCGAGGAACTGGAAGGGGAGAGAAGAACGGTTCGAGCACCAAAAAGACGAAGAAAAGAAGAGAAAGCGAGAAGAGGGAGACGAGACTTGGGAGAAGACTCTCCACGTGTCCTGTCACTTAGCGGGCATGAATATTTACGTTTACCTCGAAGGATTTCGAAGGCGGCTTTAATATTTGGTGGCCACTCGCGACCATAAACTATGGACGTGGATCCCGAGCGTGGTCGTAAAACCGTTCGAGAAAAAGTCACGAATTCGCGTTAAAAAGATTTAGAGGTGTTGAGAATCCCCAATAGTGTCGCCCGATTACGCTTGGCCCTCTTCTCTCTCTCATTTTCTGGGCGATATTCGTGGCTTCTAGAAATACTACAATTTCGTACGCAATTGTTAGGAACGAGTACTTAATAGTAATAAACATCTGATAGTATTAAGCTGTTCATAGCTTATCTTGAACAGAAAATTTTCAATCAAGGATTTATTTGAATCGAGAGATTTTGACCAACGATTCAGGAGCTTCTTAGTCCCATGTTTAGCGATTCTTGGGTGCACAAAATGGAGTTGAAAAACGACATTTATTATGCAACAACCTAATAAATTGTAATGAATGAGGAAAATGTTAAGGTGAAGAGAGTAGGTAGATCGTAATTAGTTACAGAAGTATACAGATGTGCACAGAAAGTGCAACGGAACAAGAAGCAAAGTGGTGAGGTGGAAGCAGTTATCCGTGATCATGGAGCAATGTTAAATAACAGGCTTAAAATGACGCAACGAGGACAACCGGCGCTTCTGTTGGAGTTACAAATTTTCTGCCCTGTAGGATGAAGACTAATAAACTGTTATAGCATTTTATAATCTGTAATCTCTTGTAGTCGTTCAACGGTTGTTTTTTAGTCTTTTTCTGGATAATAGTAATAGCTACTATGTTATAGAACAATTTGTGCAACTTAATAGCTCGCATCTGCCGCTCACCTGAAACACGCTGCAATTCTGCAGCACTCAAGTGCACGCTCGTAGGTCGGGTTGCATACGGTTAAGGCGCACGCTGACCTTCGACGAGGTATCCTGCGATATTGGCGATGTAAACAAGCCTCCGAAAAAAAGGAAGAAGTCTTCCCCATAACAATATCCAAGGATAAAAATCAAGAGAAACGAAACACCTCAGGGAAATGTTGCGGAGAATTCGTTCGAATTATGTTTCCCTTTCGACGCATCAAATGAAACGTTTCGAAAACGTTTTAACTTATACTTCTGAGGGTAACAATTGCAACCACAAGAAAAACCAAAGTGAATTGAACGTTTTTTTTTTACGTGTGTTTGATAGATGTACAACTATAACTGTGATCATAAAAGAAGTACTATTAGGCAATTGTTTAACAGATATTTAATATAAAATCGATGGCTTCATGTTCCCTTGGTAATTTTTGTGTACAGCAGTATATTTTCGAAAGTATTTTGACACTGAATACTAAACAGCTCAAGGAGATCGAGTAGAACGTTAGAATAATTCAAGGCGAAAGGTCAGTGAAGGGAGAGTCGAGTCCTCAATGTCATTTGTGAAGGACACCTTGTGCAGCTTTTTTTTTAGATTATGTTAAATTTCAGATTACATGTATCGTGATGTGACATGAAATGTTACAATTTCTTCTAGACAACTTCACTTGTATTATAATTAACCCTCGAAATACGAACATTTTTAATGTTCGAGTCACACGTGAACATTGTCTGTTTTCTAACAATGGCCCTCCTAGTCGATTAACGTTTTGCAAGTCCTACGAGCGAAGGTTCGAAATGTCCTAATATGTATTGGTGGACCCTTCGTTCACCGAGAGTGTTTCCTATGCGATTCCGATCGATTGTTCTAATCGAGCTCTGGTCGGGTGTAATTGCTTCCTCCGGATGTCACAATTACCGCTACCTATCGGACGGACCGGCCGCACAAAAGCTGGGAAAAACAGTTCTGATCGACATAATAAATTCTAACGGTCCGTGGGAAGGCTCCTTTTCATGCCGCGAACCGGAGAATTATTCCCATTAATGAAGCGTGCAACCTTTTCCATGCAACGCGTGCATGGATCCCGAAGTGAATCCCGCTGGCTCCCGATGGATCAGCCTCGAACGGATCGAGGATCTCGATCACATTTATTCTACAGTTTCTATCCAATACTAAATATGCTCTACTTCATTTCATCATTTCTCTGCCTTGTCGTTTACCATTTGTTGTTATATTAAATCAATTAGAACAATAGTGGAAAAAACGGTTACCACTTTTTCGAATTGTTCTATTTGTATTATTTTTTAACGTCAACTTCAATTTTTAGTATGTATGTCATATTGTATATATTGATAGAGAATTAACAGTTGTATAAAACCCAGTGCATTGAGGTTTCATGTTGATATTAAAAAATAATAGAAATATAAGGAATCAGAAAAGTTGTGTCTCCCATTGTATATTGAAATTTGTAGCTGTAATATATCTACATTACTATCATCGTTAACAGACTGCGGATGTACATATATATGCAAATTATCACTTTCATAAATTACTTTATCTAACATTAACCCTGATGCACTGTTCAATAAACTATTACATTAAATGTTATCAGGGAAATACATTTCCCTGACACTAGATTATAATATATTGTATAAGCAAAGGTGTCAAACTAAGTTAAAAATTTCTGCAATAAATAACATAATTAATAATTAAACATTGGCTGCGGGTCAAATTCACCTGAAAAGTTTACGAAAGTTAAACAATAAATGGATGTAACATGCAGAAAGACAAAATGAAAACTACATTAACAGTTTAAGTAGTGAAATATTTGAACAAATGTTCACATACCTGGACAGCGCTGTTGAGGAAGCAGTTGTTCTGGCCAGGTCCATTGAGTAAACCTTTGGTGCTGGTAAAGCTGTTATTGTGGTCATTGGACGGTGATTTCTGGGCAGATTGGATCTGCCCGGTCGCCTGGTTTCCATGTATCTGATGGCACTGCGAGGACTGCAAGTATCCACTGTAATCCACGGTATCCTGGGATGCAGCTGGCTGCTGTAACCCCATGATAGACGCCATACTAGAACGGCTACGTCAGTGTCATCTGAAATATAAAAACCAAAGTTTGATTTTTAAACGTATAACAATTAACGATGCTTACAATTTTTTCGAAAAATTTTGCCGAGTTACATATGACCCATTTTTTTCTTAAATGATGTAAGTCCACTTTTTTTTATTACGAGGTAATTTAAATTGGTAAATTTAATTTACCAATAGAGTAGAGGTAGTTCTGCAGTTCATCCTATTTAAAAATATATTTAAACGCTAATAAGCTAGTTTTATGATTTTAAGATTCCAGACATGTGTAATTTTATTATATGACCATTTCTGGAAATAGTCTCTAAATAAAACAGTGTTTTTTGTTAACCGAAAATGGACTAATACCGTTTTCAGAAATAATAAATTGTCGAAAAAGACTCATACGGTGATATCGCAGCTAATACGATTAAACGCGTGGTGACTCATTGATACTGAAGTAGGCCTTGTGTTCAATTATCTATTTAAGATACGATCGTGTTATGGATCATTGGTTGCTAGCTATAGATTTTTACGGGGCCTCGGGTATTTTAATAAATTTCACTAAGTACCGTCTGTCACTTGTTTAGGATTTTTTTCCAACTGTGAAGAACGGATAACAGTAGTCTGTTTGATGAAAATCAATCTAAATATTTATTGGTATATTGAGAATAAGTGTACTGATTTACAGATTTACGTTTTAATTAAGTTATTTAACGACAATCAGGATTTCTGTTTATAAGTTGTTAAAATAATAAGTAACTATAATGTTTATAAGTTATATGTTTATAAGTTGTTAAAATAATAAGTAACTATAAAAATTGTTATCTTCTCTCTACTTTCTTATACCTGTTGTTAGTATCTCTTTTTTCTCTTTGCTTATGTTGCTCCTAACTAAAATAAAAATTTAGACTATGACTGTGATCTATTTAAACTTTATCTTTTTATTCTTTCACGTCCGTTATTTGTTTCTACACTTGCGATATGTTTATTATCATCACGGTGCGTTAATTCAGCAGTCAATTAAGCGAAACGTGCTAATCTAGCGCACTTCAGGAAGCAACAGTCAACCACGTTAAATCTGTCTATTAATCTCTTCATAGCGAAGACATGTTTTCAGATTAAAGATAAAACACAAGAAACTCATTGTTCTGATCCTACGGCCATGCGTGATGACTTAATTCTACACATTTCTCTCATTTCATTAAAAATGGAAAAGTATAGAAACTACCTTTGAATTTCTGAAACTAAAACACTTCGAAGTAATGAAAAACTTTGAATAAAATCAACAAAACACGATGAAATATTACAAGTATATGAGTTGGATCGCAAAAATGAATGGTACCGTACGTTAGGATAACTTTTACTCGATCAAGGGTGATTTAGTCCCAAAGTCAGAAAATGATCATTTTTGATTTTGCAGTACTTTGGTGGTTATTTTTACGTGAAATACCTTTTCACGTAAAAGTCAACTTAATTTAACAATTTGGAAAGCTGCAAAATCAAGACTGATGATTTTCTGACTTGAGACAAAGTTGCCCTGACTGAGTCAATGTTCCCCCAACTAACAATAGTATTAATGATGCATAAAATAAAACTGTTTTAATCTGACATGACCCTAGCTACTACTTATCGATCATAAATAGACTGCGGGTGTTTATAGAAACATCTTTGTGGACTACCTTACAGACATTGGAGTCCAATAGAAAAATAGCCACATTAAAAAAAATAAAATTAAAACCTCAGTACACTTTAATAAAAATTTAACTGTACTAAATTTTAGAGAATCATATACGCAACAAATGCATTAAATGAACATACAAGATCGAATCTGTATCTGTTCCGAATCAAGTTTCTTTACGGTCCGTTTGGAGGCAAGTGGCGGCCAAAGAACCGACTTTCGAAATCCCAAAGTTACAAAGGGGTGTATTTACCTCTTCTGAAACTTAACGTGTATCGTGTCGGCGGCGTTAGCCACCGCTGCACCGTTCCCCTTGACAACCGAGAAATACCATGGTTGCATTGTTACCGAACCCTAAAAGCGACCACGAAGACAGCGAGACGCCAGCTTAGCACTCGAGCACGTACTCGCTCCGACCACTTTTCCTGTGCCCCTCGAAATTAACGCCGACCACTCAGCCGTACCATTTAGTATGTCGGCTATGCCAATCCGACCGCTCCTTCGACCCCTTGGGCCCCCACTTTCACCTCCATGCACGACCGATAATATCGTCTTTCCTCAGCATCCAACACCCATCCACTCCCTTAATTTCCCTTCCGATGCAAAACACGCTAGAGAACATGCAGACTTTTCCCTGTTCTTTGGTCGAGACAGAGACCACCCGCAGGAATCTGTGATATTTTCTGCTGGACGTGTTGGTAGATATGGGGAAATTGATGGTGTAGATTTGTTGATGAAACAGTTCTGAGAATGAAATAGATACATACAAAACTTGTTGCCTATTGGCTGCCGAGGGAACAAGAGATATTTGGATATTTAAAGATCTGAAACTAATCATGGAAAGAGAAAAAAGAGAACACTAATTCCTTGTTAGATCTGAAGACAGAGATAGGTAAATTAGTGTAGATGAAACAAATTTTTAGTAACAGATGTAAGATATATTATAGAATTATTTGCTTGTCGAAAGAACTATTATAATAGTTTATTCTTAAGCGTGAAAAAAAAGAGGGAAATTGATGGTACCCATAAAAATATTTTGAGTATTAAATGTAAGATATAGAATTTATTATCTATTGGTTGTTGAATAAAAGATTTATATCCAGTCAAAGCAAACGTCTGGAAACTATGATAATTTTTCTTGAACGCGAAAACAGAGATCGGGAAGTTGATGGATGCATAAAAAAAAAGTTTTAAGTAACAAATGTGAGATACATGTAGAACGTATTACTTATTGGTTATCGAGTGAATAAAAGGCTTATATTCGATCGTTGGGAAAGTCTACATGCACTTATAAGGCGAACCTTTAACTCTGTAATTTTAAAATAGAATAAGAAATAATATAATACAAAGTCGTTAAAAATATTTGCAGTGATTCGTTTTCAAATCATAACAAGACTTTTGTCCCTAGAAGCAGGTAAACATAACGTAGCAGTTCGATCGTAATTATTGTCGGAGTTGCATGTCTCGGGAAAGTACACAGTTACACGCTGCATCCCGTTTCATGGAAAACAAATGGGAAGTAACGCTTTCATGTCTCTCCGTATTTCAAATTCATATAAGATAACGGTGTTAAGGCACATGCGTGTTGATATTGTTCCCTCGTGGACGAAAAGAGGACGTGCACCGCGAAGCTGAAGAAATTACAGTAGAGTCGATATGTTACGAGTTGTACCGTTACAGTGATTCCGCGCCATTTGAGCGTCGTTTGGACTTAAAGTTGGATTCGACATGATTTTAAAAAGATTCGAACTTATGTACCTGAACGTAAGTCATCGTTAGACCGTAAATATTTATACAAATACTAGAAATTTGGTTAGTTTGTTTCAAGGGGCCTGCATTTAACTAAAACATTAACCTTATTTTATTATACTAAATTATGCTCTAAATGCATAAAATTCACAATGTATGGACATTCGCTGTATAACACATTTCAGTGTAAATCAATTGCTGAATGTTCATAAAATTTTTTAAGTGAAAGTTAAATTAAATATTAGGTCGACAAATAAGTAATTTACTATGGTTACAATAAGAATGCAGTACAATTAAAATTGAGAATACCTTTCCGATTTGTTAGTGGCAAACAACAAACATTGTTAATATTTGAGTTTCTTCCCCGAGAAAACGTAAAATTTTATTTAAAAAATACTGAATTTATTATTGGTACACCTAATACATACATTCTTTTTCCATAATTGTGATATATGTAATGAAGTCAATCTGGCGGACGGTGACATTCTGAAACCATTGAATATCTTCCTTCTCTCGTAAATAATTTATTTAAAAATTGACCGTAGATTTTACATAATTTGCTATTCCATAAATGCATAAAATCCGTATTCTAGACATAAATATCGAATAAATAAATAACTTCTTATTGATATAAACGCTCGTATAATACCTTTCTTCTCTGGTAAAAAATTTATTTAAAAATTGCGGAGAATGATCGATGACAAACGCCCTAAGATATGTATACCCTGAGGAGCATCGAATTATGCTTGCTCGTTTACAAGCAATTAGAAAAATGTCCATCGCTATGTCGTTTTCCTTGAAGATCCTCGATCGAGGCCGCGTTTCACCGGTCTGAACATTAGGGATCGAGGAGAATGGCTCGTGAATATCGATTCGATGCTCATTGATTCGTTGAACATGATTTCTTAGTAGTGTTACAATCGCTCGATACGTGTCGCGTTACTACTACACATACGAAACGCGTGAAATTTAATATACATAAACGTTTATGTCAATAAGAAGTTATTTATCTATTCAACATTTATATCTAGCATACGGATTTTATGCATTTATAGAATAGCAAATTGTGTAAAATTTACGATCAATAAAATGAACTGCGGTTGTTACTTATTGAGAATCAAGAAGAACTTTTCGTAATGTAAACAAAATTCTATTTAATTCAAGTGCTTGTAAATTAATAAACAAAAATCTGTAATTGCATAAACTTTCACAAACCACTTGTTTATTTATGTCTCGGTAAAATTTATAAACGTTAAATGGTTAATTCCATTTAATCCTCAAGAATTTCAAGAAGTTCATTCAATCAAATAAAGAAGCTTAAGATCAATGTTCCAAAAAATGAAACTTGGTAATGTTCGCTCTGCGACCAGTGAAAACTGGAAACTGCATGTTTCATTTTAGTTCACAGTTAATTGTTGGCCACCAAAGTAATATCGCCCGCGTATATGGATTAACCAGACGAAATTAGTTTAAGAAAATTGATCATAAAGCATCACGTTGCAGTTGTCGTTTTATTGTTCTCGCAAAATTCATTCCCTGATTATGTAGCAAGACTTCCGCACCACTGTGGGTTTTACGAGTCTTTCGAGCTCTGCCCA